CTTCATACTCTGATGACAGACGCAGTATGACCTCTGAAACGTTGGTAAACATCTACCAGACTACACAGCGCAACAACCCAGAAGACAAAAATTTTCATACTCACCGCTGTGAAAACCTCAGATCTTACTTGGTAATTTCTGGAAAGGCCATGTGTGACGGATTGATACTAATTTTTTTCTATATCTACAGAAATAGCACGTTACGGAATACGTGATCGTTAAACATTTGCCCATTTTATAAAATTTAAATACATTTTAAAATAACGGTTTTGCATAATCGCAGCGCGCATATCGATATTTGGCACTGTGACTGTTAAAATCATTCCTGATATACGTCTTGAGCGAAATCATTGCCTGATGATACAATGTCATTGCACAACGTAGTCTTCCTGCCAGACACCGTACGCCGCTGCCGAGTGGTTACCACCCTGATTCATGTTCAGAAGATCTTGGGTCGGAGACCGGTTGTCCTGGCTGAGATTTTTCGTGGTTTTCCTCAGTCCATTCAGGCAAATGCCGATATAGTACCTTAAATTAGGTCATGACAGCGTCCTTCAGCAACCTTTCCTTAAACCCGCAGTCTGAGCTTCTGAAAGCCTCGTTGAATGTGACATGAATAAATCATATTTTTCCATCATGAGGTGCGGTGTTGAAGTCTGTTCTCTCCGCAGAGGAGCGAATCATTCTTCTGCCGTAAAAAGGAATGCACTCTGCAAGTATTTCCAACTGCCACCAGGCACAAAAATCCTCAACAGTTGATACGGCGTCGTAAGGAGAGAGAAACTCTGAAAGCAGACCTATTCATAGGCGCAACACGACACGCATTATAGTTAACTGTTGGAAAATGAGGCAGGGATTCTGTGATCCATAGGCGGCAACGTTGCGCGGACCTGCCCAGAATACATTGCGTGACGTCATGATGATTGTGACGTTTCGAGTGCGTGGCACACAATACTGGCAGTTGTTCACCTGTTTTGTTGGGAAATAAAAACAAAACTGGACTTTCAGTTAGGAATACTCTTTTGTCGGACGTGACTTTTATGCACTTTGCGTTCCACACACATAGGCCATGCTTGGTGCTGCAGTTATGTCTGTATTAGCAGAAGTGTTATATCGGGATTTAAGAGCGCTGTTAAGTCTTTGGATTGTGTGAAAGGACCCGCTCGGTATTAATTTCAACAAGTTATTTATTTTATACACACATGCTCCAGAAATTGCATTATATAGCTGGTAAAATTGACACTGTTAATCTTAAGAACTCCTACGTTCGCGGCTTCGAAAGAGGTGGATTATATGACCGGACGCGCAGCGGAAAGTCTGCAGTTTCGGAAAAACATCGGACAGTAAATGCCGGAGAGATGTTCAAATTAAGAATTTTCATGTGTGACGAAAGTCTCACAGTGTTACGTCGAATGAAAAAGCACTTTTAAATATTTAAATGTTTCAAGAGATCGCAGAGTAAGTAAAAACATTACGCGAGCATTCGCAAAATCCAAATTCATGATTAGTTAGAACCATATTTATCTACATTTTGCTTTTCAAAACGTCAGTGGATTTTCCGATTTCTGGTACTCTCTCTCTCCCTCTCTTTCTCTTTGCACAGTACAAATAGCGGTTTCCCCTCTCTGTCTCTTTGCACAGTACAAATAGCGGTTTAGAAACGTAATTATTACTAACACGTCAATAAGCGTTTATTTACGATATAACAATTAACGACTTTAATGCGTCATTAAACTGGACTTTACGAAATAATCGCCCATATTGAACATCCACGGTTACAATTTATGCACGAGGCCATTTGGAATAATTATTTAAGTTTTTAGCCAAAAAAATATGTCCGGTTTGTAATCCGGCCATACCTGGCACTTTCTGAGGGGCTGAAACGACCATCCCCAAAACTCTATGTCGTCTTTTTCACCACTGAGTCGTTGACACGATTACACATCACAAAAGGACGAGTCGGTAAGAAGCAGTAAGTAATGTCCGACTCAGATTATTTCGGTGTATATAAAGGGTCGTTTAAAAATGGTGATTTTCGGTAGTCATCACAAAGGTGAAGTAAATATTAACATCTTTATTTAACAAATTCCAAGTTAAGCTTAAAATATATTTTCGTACGTGAGTTTCATTAAACATTTACACTTTATTCAACCGAAATATTATAAATAGCTGTTAGACGTGCATTCGAAATTCAAACTTTATTGAAACTGGGGCAAATCGATGATATTATTCGAGAACTGAGTCAAACCAAAAACTGGGGCAAATCGCGGATATTATTCGAGAACTGAGTCAAACCACAAATTTGACATGTCTGGTGTAGACTCCGAGCGAAACTAAGGCCGAAAATAGTCGTTAACTGTAACATGATATATCTTTTCCACATACACATAAATTGTTATGCTAACTAGAATTTATAGACCGGCATAAATTTATTTGAAAAACATTCATTTAAAGCTGACAAAAACATGACAACTGTTAAGTGGGTGATTATGATTTATGCTTTGGGGAAATCGGTTCGAATCTCAGTCGAGGCTCCTACTGTCCTCACAGAGAATTTAGACGGCTTCATGCCAATGCAGCTAGCTAAGATTGGTGACCTACTGAACCCTCAGATGTTAATTGAGTGGCGATAAATAACCCATAGATCAATCATTTACTCTATGAGCTATCCTTTCTCAAGTTGAAATAGACAAACGTTCGTTACTCGTTGAAAGCGGTCAGAATCGAACTTGGAACCTTATGACTGCAAATCGTACACGCCAGTCACTAAAAATAAGTCAGTATGACAAAGAGTCAGCAGAAGGCTGGAGTACAGCCAGGTACCACAACGCCGCTGCGGACAAACTGCGAGCCAGTGTAAAAGAAAACTGCGATTTAAAGGACCAATCACTGTCACAGACCTTTAGAGGGGAGATTTTCAACCTTCGCGTCACAAGGATGAATTACGTATGCTGAAAAAGTTCGTAATTACAATACGATGTATTTGGTAAGGATGAAAACACCTGCTGTAGACAGTGAACATATAATCGACTTCAATAGCAAGAGTTGAGAAATACGATGAAGGTAGCTTAATAATGCTCATATCGTTAAGCTGTCTAAAAGATCGTGGCGGAAAATTCTTGATGGGTATATTTATTCGCAGTTTGTCAGTTGTCAGTTCTGGATTGTGTGTGGAACAGGGAGTAGTCTCTGCTCGAATCCAGAAAATAAACAAGAATGCTACTTGGAAAACATGCAAGGTGCCCTTATAAAGTAATCTTGATTTCATGTATAAACATTAAAATGAGGTTTATCTCTGCTTCATCTCTTCATTCAAATGCAAGACACTTCTCGCTTGCATCTCGCAGATGCGTCTAAGTAGCACCTTGCATATAGATTTGCGTCTTCAGCAGAGTTGAGATACAGCTCAAATAGCAAACAAGCTAATCGTGGATACGGCTACAGTAGGAAACTGGAAGCGACTGGCAGGATTTATGCCCACATCTTAGATTACGCGATGTGAAGGGTATCATTTGATATTTTCATTGCACAGTGCGTGCGTGTGACGAATAGATACGTGTTCATGGCGCCTGTTTCAGAACGTATTTCTTGGTCTACGTAATAATTTATTAAAAGATACGTATCGATAAGATCGTTGGAGTTTGTAGAATCTCAACCTGTTTCAGGGGGAAAACTCTGTATAGAAGTATGTCAGTGAGGTTACACACTTAATTACGCGAACAAGAACTTTTTTGTTTATGAAATAGGCGAATGAGACACGGGAAATGAAAAGGAACTGGAATAATTTCGTTTCTGTTAAATTAAATATAAAACAGTAAGCAATTCAAAAGACGTCACTGATACTGTCGAATCTCGACTTTGTTAGCGACAAAAATATTTAATATTATATATAATTTATTGTGATTTGTGTTAATGAAAGAAACTGGCTGAAGTCAGTGAAGTGTCTCGTTACGGGCTGGACGACCGGGGAAATTTCATCTCGCCATGACGTTCTGACCTGATCTGGGACTTCTCTGATTAAAGCGGTCGAAGCGTGATGCTGTCCACTCATTTCCATCTGTTGCCGACGCCTTGAGAATGTCTGCGTGCCTTAGTGGCGTGAGGATCTCTGTCGGATAAATTGACTGTGTAAGACTGTCAAAGAGCTTCTTTATTGTTGTTTCAAGCCTGAAAGGACTTTGCTGCCTTCCAGTAAGCTCTTTGTTTGTGGCGTCTCCCTATCAGCCCTGGCCATGTGTTTGGGTAAGAGGAAGGTTGTCTAGGTGGGGCACCACGTGACGTCACACACGCATGTTGTTATTGACTCCAGGGCGGGGTACGCGCACGAGGAAGAACAAGATGATGAGCTCCAAATATGGTTGAATCTCATCCATCTGCTCCTCACCTGAGACACTGGTACTAATAAAGCCCACAGCAACTCTGCAACACGTGGGTGTTGGGACCGTTGACTCCAAACAGTCAGCGAGACTGGTATTGGATATCAGAACGTAATTTGATAGACTGGAACGTGTAGGCACATGTCCCATCAGAAAATTCTTGTCAGCGAGGAATATGTTGGTCTCGTTTGCTGCTTTCAGTTTGTAGCCATTAAAAGTGCGGGATTGCGAATGAGTCTGATTGACAAACGTTTAAGTGCGTACGGAACTATAAGTTACGAAAATGCACCTGTTCGCCTGTAACAACGCAAGATCGGCTAAACGAATTTTCATAGAATTTTATATCGTGGAATTTTTATTACAAAAATCTGTCACATTCCAGTTTCTTTGATGCCGGAGAACAGCTACCATCACGTTGCATGAAGACCCAATGTGGTTCTGGGCAGGGAATGTCCATGCTCACTAGGTAACCAACGTTACCTTAGTTGCTATGGTTACCTGGGACATCCCGACCAGAATTGTTATGTTGCTCCTGCCTTAATGTCCTTACGTGTTATCACAAGCCCATTTCTGATAACTGTTTAAGGATTTAGGGTAAGAATGAAATAAATACACAGTGACAGATTTAGTTTACCTCTGTATATTTTCTCTCTTTGCTTAAAATTAATATAGACTCTTCATCATATTATAATAATAATAATAATAGATTACAGCCATTTACTTTTATTTTGTTTTATAACATCAACTTGTACAGCTAATGCAGCGAGAGAGAAAAGTACAAATAAATATTTTTGAGTGAGTTTTTATATTCCTATTTATAACAGTTACATCACCTTTAATATTTCGTCTGCAGATATCACATTTAGAGAAACAGCCTCGTGACGTTTTAACGACTCTTCACACGTATTATTTTAATTCTTTTTTTTTTTTACAAAACGAGAAAAGTCGGTGAGAGGGGGGGGTCGCGGATACATAGGCTGTTCCAGGAACTGCCCGCCACAATTTTTTCGGTCATCACGAGAGTACAACAATAGAAAAACAGTTTGTGCAAATATATTACTGTAGTGAGAAGGGAGAGTTTTGTTTCTCTGAAGATTTCGGAAGAGGTGATTTTTTTTTTATAATGCACTACGTAACACAAAAGACAATTTTAATAAAAGTAATTTATCCCCCTCTTCATTTAATGAAATAACAACGAAGTCAAAATCTTTCAGTACCAGTACATTCATACATACAATGTGTCATATTTAGGACAAAGAAAAATTGGGTGTCTGAGTAAAATATTGACCGGTGGCTTGGTCATCAAACACGAGCGGGAAGAGGACGTCTAAGTTTCTTGCATTCACTTCATAACAATAGTTACAAGTAATTCAACAATGTTATAATTTTAATAGTTTAATGTAGACTATATATACAATTTATTTTTTTAGTCTATGTACATCTCCACGTTTTCCTTATGTTTTATTTGGCTGTTATGGCGTTTTAGGCCTGAATTTGTACGCTTTTTTGCTTAAAGGTAGGTTCCACCAATAACAACTGCAATACGAAAAGGCGTCTTAGTAACGAATATGCATCTTTTAATGAAACAATATACATCTATCTTGAGAAACAACGAATACGTCTAGCACCACAATAATTGAGAGGAGCATAATTGAAAGAGCTAGCCACCAATCTGTGATATGGGCGATTTGAGCTGGTGATTGTGTACGCGACCAGGGATCGAATGCGCGGGCACACACGCGCTGAAGATCACCATGGCAACAGCAGTGTTTCTAATTTCGCGTTTTCTTGCTGGCTGCCATGTTGTTTGCCATTCCCACTACAACTACAGAGTTTTGAAATGTAACGAAAGTTTCTTCAGTGCGCGTACGAAAAGTCAAAATTTTCCTAATTTTGAAATATAACGAATATCACGTGTATTTTTTTTTTGAATAGTAAATCACGGTTTCCAGCCACTTTCGTATGTAAAAATGTAAACTACACATTATTTAGAAAGGATTTTAGATTCTTTCTTCTGGAGTCAGGGAACAGAAGAGAATAACTAGGAAGATACATTAAAACGTCTACTGTACTTAATCAACAGTCAAAGTGATAAGACTTTGGGCATTTGAATACAATTTCTTCCTTAAGGCAATTTCCCGGCATGTTCGGGGGTTTTGTTTTGGGCGAGGGTTCCGTCCCTTGTCTAATATGAAAAGTGGATGACGTCATAATGTGATGTCTGATGTGCGTGTATGACCGTTATATTTAAAATTATATAATTTTTGTTTCTTGATTCATAAGTTTGAAACAGATTTTGAACAAATGCCGCTAGCATAGATACGAGGTTCTGCCAGTAGATTTAGTTTGTGGGTAGCCAATATCCTCTGTATTAAACAGCTCCAGTTCTCATTAAAATCTACGGAATGTTTTGTTCAGTTAAAACAAGTTGTTATTTGGCAACAATGCAAAATTTTTGTAGAGGCGGTGTCGTTAGAAGGAGAAGTCTTCCCGAAGGACGAACATTTAACATATACATATATAACATTGAGACACTCTGTCATTTTTTTACATCAAACATCAAAATAGTCACAGTGGCAGTTTAAAAAGGACAGCGCTGACTTGGGAGGAGTTATTGTTTAATAAATATATATCTGTCTGTAAAATTTTCTCTCTTTTTTTTTTCCTCTCTTGTGACCTGATTTTCGAGAAAAATTAAATTTAATATTGGGAACAAAATTGTTGGTCAGAAAATGAGGGCTATCTTGCCTCCTCTGTTCTGAAGACATCCTTCCAACACTTTTTATGAAACCGCCACCCCTACAAAGTTTGGTACAGTTACAAGAAATATGTAAATACATAGCATCTTATGATCTTATATCCATTAATTAAAGCCATTTGTTATTTTCTGGTTTCTTTCCACTATGTTAAAGCCTTTTACCGGCCTGCAAATAAAAACTAAAGCAACAACAAATACGTCACACAACACAGCATTTAGTCGGAAAAAAGACCCAATTAATGAAATTAAAATTGTACAAAAATAGGACATTTCTGTTAAAGGGCGGAAAGCGTCACGTGACCGATCCAGCTACTAACTGACACAGACGGTCGTGACTTCTCTCCATTTTACGCAATTTTTTTTGGCAACGTGAAAAAATAACAGAAACGGCACATTTCTAAAATGTGGCTTTTCGTTTTTGTTTTCATTAAAATGCAACAGCTCGACTTGTATTTTAAAAAAATAATTTGTCATGTTCCATAACAAAAAAGAATATTACCATAGAGTCCACTGCCTCTCTCTCTCTCTCTCTCTCTCTCTCCTTTTGCTGGTTTTCCACAGAGCGCCAACGATGCACACACACAACAATTAATAATGTATTTCGTCAAATTACAACAAAGAATTGAACAACGAAGTGCGAAGTAAAATGTGCATGGTTTCTCTGTTTTGACGCACAAAACTTAATACGTCAACGGCCTTGTCTATGTACATAAAATAACTTTCCGTACTAAGTAAGGTCTTTGACATTCTTCATCGCTGTCGAGAAAAATCACAGTTAACATAAAGTGGGTGGGGATACGGAACATATGACGTACGAACAGGATAAAGAGAACACATTTTGCACCATAATTTGTTTCAAGAGTCAAGGTTTATAGAGAGGTCGTAACAGGCATGGTGAGGCTGTCGTCTGAGGTCACCGTGTGTTGCTGCTGGATTCCGCTTGTGGTCGTAGCGGACTGATGATGGTGGTGGTGATGCTGATGATGTGGGTGCATGTGGTGCAGGTGGTGTCCTGCTTGTTGCTGGTGCTGCTGCTGCTGCTGCTGCTGCTGGTTAGTGCCGGCTGTCGACAAGCTACTCGAAGCGCCCCCTGCAATCAGCTTGCTCTCTTTTTTGAGCCTCTGTTTGAGATGCACTTTTGCATGGCGTTTTTTCTCGTCGCTTCTCGCAAACTTCCGTCCACACGTATCGCACTGAAACGGTTTCTCGCCTGTGTGCGTTCGGATGTGCGTTGTGAGATGATCAGATCTGGAGAAAGATCTCATGCAAATCCGACATTGAAACGGTTTCTGTCCTGTATGGATTCTAATGTGACGCGTCAGCTCGTCCGATCTTGAGAAACGCCTATCGCAGTTCTCGACTGGACACGCGTAGGGTCTCTCGTGCACCGGTGTCTTACTAGGCCTGTTCGGATACTTTCTAGGTTTCACTGGTACCAACTTGAGCGGCATTGGCGACTGCTGGTAAACTTGCGACAGAATCTCGTGACCTTTACTTGTGGACGGGTTGTATTCAGCAAGCTGCACCGAGAAATTCCCTCCCTGCTGTTGTTGCTGTTCTTGAGCTTGTTGCACATCACCCACACTACCCCCTGCACCCCCGCCACTGCCTGACGTCCCTCCACCACCCCCCGCACAGGCACTGAAAGGCTCCTGTTTGGGGATGAGCCCTGAGGGTCCAGGGACAGACATCCCAGAGCCGTACGCAGCCACAACTTGCGAGTCCAACCACTGGTACTTCCCCGTTGAGGGCACGAGGGACTGTCCCACCCGACTGTATGCCATCTCTTGCTGCTGTTGAACGTCAGCGATTGAACCCCCGCTGCAACTTGAATATGTCGGAGGTTGTTTGAGCGCCATGTTCCCCCCAGGTCCACACTCTATGCCGAGTCCTATCAGGTCTTCCTGATGCTGCTGAGATCCATCATCGTAGTGAATTGCAGCGGGACTTGGACTCGCGGAGGGATACTGTTGTTGTTGTTGTTGTTG